CCCAAACTACTAGCTAGACCAAATAAGGAGAAAAACAAAACTACTTTTTATGTATGGGGTAGATAGGTAAGGGCTCCTGTTTTCTCTTGTTAGATACAGGCTTTGGTTTCTAACTGCCTGAAGCTGCTGTTGAAAACTGGCTTTCGTTATGTGGGGTTTTACTGAAAGCTCCAACTAGAAATGAATAGTCCAGGCATGCTGGGTTTGGCCTAGGAACCAGAATGGTATTTCCCTTCTTTTCTGCTCTTCCCCTCCACGAGTGTATGTGTGGATCACACTGGGGTGGATGGAATTTTCAGTTGTTGTAGTGATGGTTGAGAGTGAGACCTGAAGCCAGAACGGCAAGTGCCCGCTGAGAGCAGAAAGCACAAGAGCTCCCACCAGGCCAATGCCAAACCCTCCTTGGACCCCAAGCTCGTGAGAGAAGTTTTGCCTGGCAGTGCCCAGGAGCATCTTGCTCTCAGCCCCCTTCCTCAAGGCCAGGGCGCAACCCCCAAGCAGGACCAGTGGCCCCAGGCCTGCCGTGGTGGCCAGAGAGGACTTCCACAAGGACAGACTTCCCTTGTCTATCAGGGAGAAGCAGATGATCTTGCTGGTGAGGGACTGCCCCGCCAGTCAGCAGAAGTCAGCACACTCTCCCGGCAGTCATCAGAGGAGAGCAGAGGATGGGGAAGTCTGTGGTGCGAGGAAGTGGGACCTGGAGAGGAGAGTCACAGACACTTGTGACAAGTCCCGTCAAAAGAGGAAGGTGAGAGGTGGAGGTGGAGGTGGGTTTGTACAAGGACCAAGGTGGTGGTTGAAAAACACAAGTGTAGAGTTCGTTTCCGCTTTATAGGTTGGGAGTGGATCCGTTCTGCTCCTTCTCTCAATGTGTTACCCAGCTTCTAAAGGGGATGTGCATCAAAACTGTCCACAGGTGTTTCCTGTTGGTCACAAATCCCCTGCTGAGCAAGTGTAAAGCCCTGTAAGCTAACAGATGCTTTGGTGTTTTAAAACATTTATTTTTTTTTTTAATACTATTTTTCTCAAGAAAACAAACCCCAGCCCTCCTATGCTGGAGGAGCTTCTGGCAGCAGGCTCTGTCAGCGTGTGGCTGGCCAGCTCCCTGGTAGCATTTGTGGGTTTCTCTGGCTTTCAGCCCAAGCAGAGCTTTGGAGAGCTGGGGTGCCCCATCCCCCTGCAACCCCTTTCAAAGCAGCACAGTACCTGAAGTGCCTCCCAGACCCTGCAGCCATCTGCGCTACCCATTTACTGTCTGTTGTGGGAGAGCACCTTGCCTGCAGTTTGTGGGGGTGACCGGAGAACAAACCTACCCAGGCCACCCCCCGTCAGTGCTTTTCTGTTTTGTCCACATGGGCACCTTCTGCTGCCTTTTGTTGTGCAACCTCAGTCTGAGCAGTGTAGTCTTTTTCTGGGTGAAGTAATTTCTTTCCATGAAATAGTCATGATTGCTTGCTTACACCAAGACAAACGAATTCTGCAGGTGTCACCTGTGTCACTCCTAGGGGTGAGAGCAGCAGCCCCCTGCCTTTTGCTTGTCCATCAGTGCAGACTGTGAACTGAACCAGGGTCGCTTGATAGTAACACCCATCACTGAACCCTGCTTTGGATTTTTCCTTCTTCTTAGAGGGAGGTGGAAGAGGAGATTGATTGGAAGAAAAAGAAATCAGACAAAGAAACAAAGTCATTGCAGTCTTCAGCTCAGGAGGACTCCAGTAAACTGAAGTGAGTATACACTGGTGGGATGGCAGAAAGATGAATAAAACTGATTCTTTCTTTAAGAGGTTAAGGTGAAAAACTGTATCTCCTGTCCTCATACTCATGAGTTTCCTTCTAACCTCATGTACCTTCTGAAACTTCATCTGCTGCAGATTTCTCTTTACATCCTGGAACCAGCCACGTGGCTGTATGAATGTAATTGATTTGCCTTTGTATTTGTTGCAGAGGTGAAGTGATACTTGGGTGTCACCTGTCTGCCTCTCTCTCCTTAATGCTGAGGAATACGGTTCTTATTCAAGCGTGAGCTGATGTTTCAGTGGCTGGTCATCCCCCCATACTTGGTTTACGCTCCTGCAAAAGGGTTGAATGTTGTGGCATTAAAATGCTGGGGTTTCAACCCCAAGCCCCAAATTAAGGTTGACATATGGGTGATTCCCACAGCCCTTCACAAAGGGGAAGGGGGAGTGAGTTTGACTTCAGTCTTCCCTCCAGACAGAGCCATTGTGTAAATGAGCCCCAGGTGTCCTGCTTTAAGTAAACAAAGCTCAGGTGTCCCACTGAGGGGATAAAAGCTGGGAGCCCTTGCAGGCAGGGGCAGCGTCTGTCTGTGAGGTGGATGCATTGTGCAGTTCCCTGTTGGGGAAGGACCTCCTGCCTCCCTGGGACTGGGCTCCAGTCAGGTCTGGCTTTTGTAAATGTGGGCTGTGTAGAGATTCAGTATGTGGCTTCCTTGGATTTATGTTCTTGGCTTGTTGACTCAGTTGTCTCCTATCCCTTCTATGAGAGACTGCATGTCACCATTTATTCCACTCATTGTTGGTTGTGTGGTGGTGTTGTTGGGGTCAGTGGGATTGATGTCGATTATGTATAATCTGACTGACTTGTTTGTACCCCCAGTGCTCGCCCATGCACTGACCCTTTTGTATCAGTGATAAGTTGTTTGCAAACAGTGTGGTAGGCAGCCTGCCTGTGGGGATGCAGGAGCCGTTTCCTCTTCTCCAAACTGCAGTGGTGGTGATCTGCCAGCAGGTGATTGCCCGCAGTGATCTGGGAGGTGGCAGGAGTTCTGTGGGCAGTAGCACAGGCTTGTTCTGCACAGTAATTTAGGGGCTTCAGGGGATGGCAGGAGAAATTGTCCTCTGGCTGAAAATGTCCCTGCTCATTGCAGGGGGTTTGGACTAGATGACTTCTAAAGGTCCCTTCCAACCCCAACTGTTCTATGATGCTCAGTGAGTAAGACTTGAGAGTTCAAGTATATTTCTGCTCTCATGAGAAGTAGCCTTGCAAAGCTTTTAAAAAGGGAGTTGGACTAGAAGATCTTTTAAAGGTCCCTTCGAACTCCTAAACCATTCTAGGAGTCAGTGAATGTCTTGTTCTTTGTCCATGTCTTCCTCCTTCTGGGTTCTGCTGTTATCTTTGGGGGAAGCTTGTACCCTCTCTGCGTGAGAGGGAAGCAGCAGAAAGCTTTATCTGGTTCATGACACTTCACATGCGTTTAAAGCTCTTAGTCTTTGTAAAGTGAGAAGATGATGTGAACACTCTTTGCACATGGAGAAACTGAGGTGCAGACAAATTGAGTTGCTTGCTCAGGCTCCTGCTGCAAAGAGGTGAAAGAGCTGAAAGTGTGACCCAGGAGTTGTGACTCTTGCTCCCATGACTGAGCAACCACATCAGAGAGTTCTGACAGCCTCTTGGGAAAGGCTGGTGTCTGAAGTGTAGCTGTATGTCCATCAGTTTTGACTGGGTGATTGCTACCAGTTTCTTAATTGGACAGGTGGTGATGAAAGCCACAAGTCGGGTGCTAATGCTGATCCTGTCTGCTCCCTCAGCTGCTTTTGCTGTCACCAGTTATGGGCTTTGAATAGCACTTGCCCCATGGACTGCTGGTGCCCACAGGGTTGGTGCTGGGTGGGACCCATCTTCTCCCAGCTGAGAACAGAGAGGAGTGTGATGGATGTGGCAGAGCTCTGTTTCCTCACCTTGTTGCTGTGCGAGACTGCTGAACTGGGGGGCTGCAGAAGCATGTGGATATGCAGCTCCCCCTTTCTCTAACCAAACCAAGATGCCTCAGGGCCAATAGGCTTTTCCCTCTGACTGGCCCAGATTTGTAGAGGGGTGAAAGGTGCAAAGGCCTGTCCAGGAAAGAGATTTGTATGTGTGGGTGGGTAGGGAGCATTTCCCTTCTCCTCTAAAATCATCTTGTTGTCTTTGTCTCTTGTGTGTGTGACCTAACGGACACACAGCCAGTGTGCCTTTTGAATTGTGACTCTGTCTGGAATTTCAGGTGCCCTTCATGGCCAGGAATTTCTCGTTTATTCCCGCATAGCATTTGCAGTCCTTCTGAGAGATGTGCTGAAACTTACCCCATCATCTGCAGACCAGTGTACTGCAGCATTTTTACCTGCCCTGTACTGCTGCCTTCACATGTCTGTGATTTCCTGTGTCCTGTCCCCCCATTTCTTCCCTCCCCCCCCGAGTAAAGGTCTCATGGCAACAGTTCTTGGTTTGAAGGACTCTACTCTGGAAATTAGGTCCTTTTTAAATCGGAGAGGAGGTGTCTCTGGTGCCTGCCTACAAGTGCTGGGTTTTGATTTGTCTGATTCTTGACAAGTGACCAACTCTTCTGTCACGAGGTGCTGGGTGGGCAACTGGCATTTTTGGGGAGGGCATGACTCTTTACTTGCTCGTGTTGTTGGTGCAGAGGCAGCTGTGTGCTATTTGCATGGTGAATAGACTATCCCAGTGCACAGAACTGCGTGTGGTTGAACTTTATCATTGTTTAGAAGTTGATTCAGACCAATCAATGGGGTTGGCATTGGTGACCATCTCTCCTGTAAGCAGATAACTTGAATGCAGGCTCTTTTGGTCTGAGATGAATGACTGACACTGCAAAACTTACTGTATGTTTCAATCAAAATGTGTCTGTGGGATTGTACTTGAGGAATGATAGGAGATCATATCACTACCATCTTTCCATGGGCCAAAGTAGTAAACCTGGCCTCACAGTAGCCTAACCTCCAGTGGCTTTTTATTTTGAAATGTTACTCTAACACACATTTTTTAAGAAAACAATTCATTGTATCTGTGTATTCAGCTGTTGCACATTTCTGTACATGCAGACAACTCTCATTTAGTGACTCATCATTGTAATGTGTGTTTGATTAGGCTGTAACAGGCTTACCAAAACAGGATGTTTGAATTCATGGCATCCTCTGGATAGGAAGGTAAAACTGATCATTTTCCTAACCTTCTTCTGTTTTCCTTCTCTGTCCCCAATTCAGACAGCATCCAGTGGAATACTACATCGAAGAGGCCAAGAGGCTGAAGCACATAGCCGATGCAATGGTAAGCCTCGGCCCTGTGCTAGAAATGCTCACCAGCTCTTGCATTCAGAGCTGATACCTGCCTGCATGGGATAAGATTCACTGTCTAACATGACTTCCACACTTGGAGTATGTTCGAGTCACCTGTGGGGAGGCTGTCTTTATCTGCTAAGTGTTCAGACGTTTCCCTTGGTTATAAACACATCCAGAGAATGCTCCTGGAGAACAGGATTCAGGGCTGGTGCTGTCTGAGGTCAGCAGGCCTGTTGGCTTTGCAGAACTACCACAAGGTCCTTGGAGGAGAGGTGCAGCAGTTAGTTACAACACAGTTTACTCTGAAATGTCAGGATTCTCACAGTAATTGTGCTGCAGGTGAACCAGACTTGCAAGTCCCCGTTGCAGATGTCACTGGCTTACTCTGCTCTGGGCAGTTGTGTGTGTGAAGGAACATCTGTTGTTGCTGGTGATGGTTCACTCAGATAATGTACATTTGCCACTTGTCATTTACTTGTGAAATGAAGTGAGGGAATACTGCGGTGGGCAAGCCCCATCTGCCTCTCCTGAGGCAGGCCTCCAAGACCAGATGATAATGTCCAAAACATGTGAAGGTAATAAATTACGCAAGGAGAACATTGAGGGAGAGATACAAATAGCCAGAGCACACAAAACTGATGCCTGGGACCACATTAGGGGTTCTGCCTAGAACCCTTTAACTATCACCCAGAGGCCTGACTTGCCTTTTTTCTTTCTTCAAATCCTGCCTAACAAGGGAAAAAAAGAATTCAAGTACACTTGAGAGAAGTGGCTTTTGTCTTAGTCTAAACAGGAGAATTTTCTTCCCAACAGACCGACAGGACTGAAAGGGCCTTCCAGTACCTAGATGCTGCCCTTTCCTTCATTGAATATGGGATTGCCTTGGAATCGGACCCAACAGAACCCAAATCGGCTTCCAGCGTGTTCAGAGGCACCATAGATCTCCTCAAGTAAGTGGTTTTCACAGCGTGATGGTCAGGCAGCGTGTTTGGAGCAGAAGGGGGAGTTGTGTTGTTGTTTGCAACTGGCAGCTCTGGATTCCCCCCACGGAGCAGAGCCCGGGCTGCTGCACAAGCACGAGACAGCCCATGGCGAGGCACCAGAGACAAATCCTTTGGCATGTTTCGGCACTGCTGATCAGAAGGAGGCACCGTGTCCTACTCGGCCCCTGAGCCACGCAGCTGAGGTGCACCAGAGGACACTGGTTATAACAGTCAGAGGCGTGAGGGAGTTTTTAGTTCATCCAGATCTGGTGTTGCTTTTGCATGTGAGCTCAGTGGTATTTCAGTTAAGAAGAGCAAGGTAACTATACTGTGAGCTGAAGAAGAGTGTTTGCTTTCTGGTCTGGATGGACTGTATTTCCAAGATATCGTTGTTTCCTTTTTTTCAAAAAGGAGATTGGCTTGCTTGTTTTTTGCCAGAAGAAACATTTCCACTAAGATGTCTGTCTTGTCCAGAAACACTTGAATTAATATTTCACCTTCAGTAGCGGGGGCACTTCTTCTGGGTCCCAGGCCTAGGGGTGGCCCATGCAGGGCTTCTACTTGTTGCCTGTTAATCAGTGTAAGAGCAGAGTGGGTCACATAAGGGGCCACATCTGTTCCTGCTGCCTGGGAAACAAGGCATTTGGAGACACAGTCCCCTGCTCAGCACTGTACAAACCACTTGCTGCCAGCACTAAGAACTCAGGGCAGGTTTCCTGACTTCTGGACTGATGTTTGAGATAATGGCATGAGCTGATTTTTTTTCATGAACAGTGGGACTTCAGAGCACTGATGGCTGACAAGATTCTGTTCATTTTGTTTCCTTAGATTCATCATGACACTGAAATCCTTTACAGATGCCTCAGCATCTTCACAGGACAAGATCTTTGCTGTGTTATGGTGGGTAACTGTTTTTCTCTGCTTTTAGACTTGATAGACCCATTACTTTCAGGGGTGAATGAATGAGTTAAATGGGAATTGGAGTTCTGCAAGGGAAAAAACCCCACAATATAAAAATCCAGAATGAACTGGAACATCTCTAAAGTGAGTTGGGATATCACAGGGGACCACATGTGGAAGGCACAGGCTCTAAAATTTGATCTGCTGGTAACTTGAGAGCACATAAGGGCTTTCTCCAAAGGTGAAAGAATGCAATTTGGCTGCCCGTATTTGAGCCACATAACTGAGGCTGAAGCTGAACATCACGAAGCCTTTTCTGGACGGAGGCTTACTCAGCCCGTGACACTCATGGGAGGTTGGGCACCTGTTTATATAGAAGACCAGGCATGGCCCTTCCTCAGTTGCTTTTTTTTTCCCTTGGGATGCTTTTAAAGATTCTTTTTTAAAGCTGAGCAGGAGGAGGAGACATTCAGAGCTGTCTTGGAGCTGCAGTACCGCTGATGCGTGCCCGCCTCTGTCCCACAAGGCTGGTGACTGCTGAGCAGGCAGCAGCCAGCGTCAGCACTGATGCTTGGGTGTGTTTCTGTTCACAGCATGCGCTGCCAGTCCCTTCTGCACATGGCAATGTTCCGTTACAAAAAAGATGCTGCCATGAAGTATTCCAGGATCCTGAATGACCACTTCAAGGTAGGGCACGCGTGTTACTGAGCTGCCGTCTGGGCTGCTGCGGGACTTACTGAATGTTGCCTGAATAGCACAAACCTAACGAGTTCTGTTCCTTGCTGCAGAGTTCTTCCAGATCTACACAAGCACCTTCTCTGTGTGTTGCAAGGTAAGATTTCAAAACACATATGTTGTCCTGTTTCTACAAGGGTGTGAGTGAAAACAGGAGCTGGAGTGTTTGAGTTGGTGCCTGCATTTGAGAGTGCCTCACCACTTGCTCCTTCTTGCCCCCTGAAATCATACTGTTAGGGGCAGGAGTATTTCTGCTCTCTCCTTCCTGTCTTTTCTCCTCAGAAAGGTGTGGGGTTTTTTTTGTTAAGAGGTACAGATTTATGCCTTCACCCTGTGGTAGCAGAACTTTCATAGTGTTCTCTTTGGCTCAGTCACCAATTAAGAAACTAATTTTATAATTTCTGAGTTGTTGAGCATTTTGTCCTTTCTGTGTACCTGCAGCAGCAAAAGTCGAAGTCAAGCTGTTATGTAATGGTGTTTGCCCGGGTCCCCAGCAGACTGGGCCCGTGTTTGAATGACAGTGATTAAGAAAGAGGCTTTTTTTGTGTGTGGTGGCAATTGCATTTGGCAGAGAGCTACCTGCTCCACTCCTGTCCCTTTTAAACTCTGTGCTTGAGAGAGGCTTGGTTGGTCTTTAACAGTGATGCTGCAATTCCAGATTTTTGTGTCACCTTGCACAGTACAGTTCATTGGGAAGTCAGTGGTCTCCCCAGAGCAGTGGTGGAAGCCCTGTCCTACCAGTGACTAAAACTGGGTTGGGTGAAGGAGTGCTGTGATGAAGCCAGGCTGTGTCAGGCAGTTGGCTGCATTCACCTGCCCTAGGGCTATGAAGAAGTGTGTGTGGCTGACCTGGCTGCTGTGACCAGCTGTCAGAAAGCTCCAGCCTCCATCGGTGGGGAGCTGCAGCGTGCCTGAAATGGAATTTGTTTGGAAAAAGCGTTCAGATAATCTGGTGAAGGCTTCTACAAGTTGGTGTAGGTGTTGGGAAGTGGATGGGTGGCCCTTTCTGATGTCTGGACCCGCATTTTTTATTTTTTTTTTTCAAGAGGAAGTCCTTTGAGTCACAAATTGCTTCAAAAACCTTGGCCTTGCACTGGAAGGACAATTATTTGTTATGTAGCTGAACACATCTCAATTTTCAAAACTCCGCCCCATGCTGCAGGCCTGGATGGTACCAAATAGCTCCTGGCATAAAATAGTCAGATGTGTCTCACTCTGAAGTTAAATGCTCATGATGGTGTTTCTTTCTCCTGCAGAAGCACAGGCATGACTACTTATGCTGGCAGTGGCTACAGTGGGAACAGCACTGGCTCTTCAGTCACTGTTCCCTACAACATCCCAGACATCACCTCTGCCTACATCAACATCAGTTCCTATATCCTCTATGCATATGATATTTGGGAAAAGGCCGATGCACTGGCCGGGAAGAACATGGGTAAGTGTTTTCTGCCCTCTGTCTTTTTGGTCACATGTGTGGTGGTTATGTGTATGCCCTTGCTTCAATCCTAACGCTCAGTGTAGCAAATGCTGTACCAAAAGATCAAATCATTACCTATGTTGAAGCAGACAGCTGTGGCACATTGTCAGGTTATTGGCAGAGATACCTGGTGGTGATAAATTGAGGAGAGTTCCAATTCAAGGGTTGTCTTGGCACCCTCAGAGGTCTTAAGCGCTAAGGGGTGAGGGTATCAAGTTCAGGGAACCAGCCAACTTGCTTCATGCTAACATGAGAAGCATAAGCGGGTTTTTGCAGTTTGTTTTTCCCTTGGGGGCACTTAGCTTTTCTGAGTTGGTTCCCCTCCTTTAAAAACAGGTTTTTGGCCTGTAGGCTTGTGTTTTAGTTGGTTTGTCAAGCTTGCAGGTATCTTGGCCTTGAAAATGTTGATGCTGGCTTCTCTCCGTAACAGAGAAGCTGAGCAGCTCTTGCACTGGAGTTCTGGCTGGGCACGTGACCAGTATGTGCCGGTAGCTTTCCTGAAATTGATGCTACTCTTTGGATTTTACACTTTTGTTGTTATAAGTGTTCTCCTATGGTACAAGCAGTGGTGAATAAGCAAAAGCCCTAGAGTGGTTTAAAACCCAAAGTTTTCTGAGCTGCTGTGGGTGACAGGCTATACTGCCACCATCTGTTGACAGACTGGCACAAGAAATAAGCACAGTGAGGCTGGCTGAACTGTGTGAGGGCTGCAGAAAGCCTCACACTGAGGCAGTTGCTGAAATTCAAAAGGCTTTGCAAGTCCCCTTTGAAGAGAGTGACTTCGGTTGCTGGGTATCCCCTGAGCAAATCTGTGCTCGCAGCAGCAATGCATGTGTAGTATTTTGGGTTATATCATCCACAGGCTGTCACTAAGAAGGACAAAACCTGTTCTCTGCTGCTTTAGTGGAGGGGAATGATGACTGAGGTAGTAAATACTCCCAGGGGAGTGGATCTGTGCAGGATAAGAGTAAACACTCCTGTGGGCTTGGCAGTTGCTGCTGCTGTTCAGGATGGTGGAGGAGTTTCCAAACTGGAGCTTGTTGATACTAAGTGTAAGGTGCAGATGTTCAGAGTACAGAGAGAGTACATCAAACTAAATGAAAAAGGCCCCATCCTCGATTCATTTATGCAATTCATAGGCAATAAGATGGGGAGGAAAGAGCAGTGGCCTCCAGATATCCCTTAAAGAGGGAAGGTGAGAAGTAGTGGAAAGCAGTTAGTTGTAACTGATGTTGGGGCCACCTGTGCAAAGCTGGAGCTGGTGGCAGGAGAGGAGGGCTCTCTTCAATCTGCCTGATGCCCAGCTGTGAGCAACCCCAATCAGAGCTGTACTGCCTGGCCAGCTGGACAGATTTTGAAACCTGTTCAGCTGAGAAATCCTGATGTCTCCAAGGTCTGAGGATGGGTGAAGCCAAGGGACCAGCCCGGTGACAGTGGTGTGTGCTGCCAGGCACCACTCAGAATGTGGCCGGTTTAAAACCTGGGGGCGTCACGCGGTAGGGACTGGGATGTGAACACCCAAACTCCTGCCCACCTACCATGGCCTCTCGGTGTCCTTTCAAAGCCAGAGCCCGGGGAGGCGGTTCAGTGTGAGTGCGTTTCCCTCCCACATGCCGGGCCCTCTGTGCTTGTGACGCTGCCTGGCCTGTCTATCGCTGAGCTCTCTGCGTTAAGGATGTGTTTAAGGGGACCTGCCGACTGACAGGGTGCTGCTGCTGCTCCTCGCTGCCCCCTTGCCTGTCAGATGGACCTGTGGTGTGAAACCAACCAAATGTTTTCTCTCTCCCTCCCCTTTTTCCAGAGTTTTTTGCTGAACTCAGCACAGCGACGTGTGCTCTGGCGCTGAACAGCAGCGTGACCGAAGCGGTACGCTACGCTAGGCAGGGTTTGCAGTGGCTGAGATGGGAAACAGCTGCACCTTAAGGTGGGTGAGTACCTGGAACTTCTTTGCACTTTTGAAGCCTCAGTGACAGTCTGACTTGTTGAATTAATGGATTCAAACCACCTGCATAGGAGCACAAATGGAGATGGCAGGAACCTGGTTACAGTGGAGGAACTTTGAAGACCAGCACTGCCTCCAGCACTGACACCAATACCTGCACCAACACCCGCAGTGACACTGATACTGACACTGCCCTCGGCACCAAAACCAGCGCTGACACCCGCAGCATAAAAAAGAGAATAAAACTTCTTTTTCTTTTTTTAAACTCTGTGGCAGCAGTTGGGTGCTTCACTCCTTCCAAGCTGTGCACAGGCCGGGGGGTTTGTCCTGTGTGCACAGGCTGGGGTGGGAGGGCAGGATTCTGGGGTGGCAGTGGAGGCACAGAGGGCCTTTGGTTTGTGGCAGGAGCCTCCGGGAGCAGAGGGATCAGCCTCGCCTCTGCTCCCTTAGAAGGCACCAGAGATCAGCACAGCAGCAGCGTGCTCGTGGCATTCAGTGGCTCTGACCTGGCACTGACACCGCCCCCAGCACTGACACCCTGAGAACATTCCTGGTGTCCCCAAGAGCTGCAGAGCTGGTTTGCCCAGACCTGGCATCAGTCTTGACTGAGGGAGGGCGAGGGCGCAGGTGATTCTGAAGGTCCCTCGCATTAATACAGACGAATTCAAGGCCTCATTTAGCTGCTCCAAAAACCTGCGGAAGGTGCAGCCCCGTCAGCAGAGGCTTCCTTCAGCGGCCCTGTGGCTCATCTGCACCAGTCATGCAGATGGAACAGGGAGCTGAGAGCACTGACGGGGCAGAGGCAAAGGCACCTTCTGCTCTGCCTCCATCCGAGCCTTTCTTCTGCCTTTGCAGACCCCTCCCGGGACAAAAGACTGCCCCTGACCTGCTCCCCATGGGGGGTGGGAGGAGCTGAGGGTGCTGGGTGGCCTGGAGTGGTCTGGGGGGCAGTAAGGAGAGTTTCACTTCCCAAACCCACCATTTTCAGGCAAAGAAAAGGGAGATCAACCCCTACGAAGCTAAAAAAGCCACTCAGCCCGTCCTGCTTGTGCACTCCTCTGAGCACAGAAGCAGCTGCCTGCTGATGGTTTGGATTTAAATAAGGAATGATTTAGAGTAACTATACAACCAGTTATGCTGCCACAATGTTCTTTTGAAAGTCTCAAGCTAAGGCCATGTAGACTAGTGATAACCATCAACTAGATTTCTACACAAAGAATAAGACTTGTGATGAGGTACCATTGTTAGACTGTTCAGTCAGGATGATTTATTGCCCTGTAGACCAGGTGTTCTAGAAGTTACGTTGTGAAAGGGCCTTGAATCATGTTAAAATTGCCATGTGAGCCAAAAATCCTTGGGTCAAGGGCACTGGAAGGTCTGTCTTTTAGGTCAGTAGTCCGTGGTGGTCACACAAGCAGCCCCCCAGCTCGTTTCAGGACTCAAGTGTGTGTGACTGGGAAGAGGTGGGAATATGAAGATGATTTATGGGAATAAGCATGTATATGTATGAGAACTTGATGAATATGTCTTACTGCATCCAATATAATCAGCATGATTCATGAGTCAGGTGTGTGTTGTTGGCGAGAACTCCCCTATGCACCAGGCTGTTAATAAAGAGAGTATCTGCTTATCTACATCAAACTGGTGTTGGTAAGTTCTTTTATCCCATTTTGGTGACCAGATGACCTTTAAAACAGTTTGGGTTGGAAGGGATCTTTATGATTCTATGACCTGAAGCAACATGGTCTCAAGATGACTGACCTGGCCTTTGCCCTCTGCATCTTCTTGCCCTGGTTTTCTCCAGAGAGGAGGCTCCTGCCTGTGCTTGTGTGCCCTCCCTCATGTCTCCTCCAACATTTGCTCCCATTCTCCAGCCAGAACCAAAATGGGCAGAAACTGGACACTTCCAACCCATCAAACCCAACTGTGTCATGAAACAACAAAGGAGATTTGTATTCAAATGCAATCTCCTTTTGCTCTTTGGGCTGTGGGTGAGCATGGGAAAGCTGACCTTCCTAGAAGGTTTCTCAGCTCAAATTCAGATGAAAGGATGACCAGAACTGCCATCTCTACCAGAGCAGGAAATGTGTGCGTATCCAAGCCCTTCATGTCGCTAGGCAGGCATGGGATTGCATGTGGTTTCAGAAGGAAATTTCCATGCAGTCCTCCTGTCTTTATGAGGGGGTGGATATGTGCTCCTCTGTTGTTTTTTCAGCCGGTGTGGGACTGTGTGTGGGGGCTGTAACCCATTACGTCAGGGTGCAGACACATGGACGCGTTTTCCATGCTGGGTTATTTGACTCTGCCGAGAGAGCAAGGGAGCGGGTAAGGCTGGTGCTGCACGCTGGAGGAGAGGTTGGTCTGCAGATGACTGTTTTGGAGCTTGTGAGTAGCAGGAGGACAAACAGGCCCATGCATGATTTCATACTGCATGGGGGACAGGTTTGTCAGGTGCTTTCTGTGTTTCGACCGGCCTTTTAAGAAGCTGTGGTTTGCCTTCTGGGCACCATGATGCAGGTGGTGTTTCTGGGCAGTGTATTCAGCTTTTTGGAGATGGCCCCAGAGGGCATGTGAAACAAGGGCTTCTCTGCAGGAGTATGGATATTGGACAGCATGCTGATGTCCTGCTCAGCAGATAACTGGAGGGGGTGTTGGGGGTGGCTGTGTCTCAGGAAGGGGCTGAGTATGGGGTGCCAGGTGGTGAGCAATTGCATCACTCACTTTATATATTCATTCTATTTGTGTCACTGTTGCTCGATGGAACCGTCCTATCTCAACTCATGAGGTTTTACTACTTTTTCTTCCAATTCTCCCCCCCATCCCAGGAGGGAAGGGATGAATCAGCGAGCAGCCACGTGGTGCTTTGTTGCTGACTGGGCCTAAACCACCACCAACTGTCTTTATTCTTTCAAAAGGCAGATTTGCATTCCTCTTCATGCTACTGTGAAATCACAGATGGCCCTAACGTTTTGTAAGTGGTGTTCCATTCCTTCATTTCATCTTTTCTTTTTCTCACACCTTTTATCTCATTGAACAGAGATGATCTACAAGTCAGTCTTTAGACTGAATTCTTAGCCCTGCCAAAGGAATTAGGAAGAAGATTAATTTCTACATCTATTGTTTATGACCAATAAAGGAAATCCACTTGCTGAATTATCCTGATGAGATTAGTACAATGCTTCACGCATGTACATTACCTGTTTTAGTAAATATGCTAAGTTTGATTTCAAAGAGCTTCACCTTTCTGTTGTGTGACCTACGTTTCAAGAGGCACATACACAAAACATAGTATCTTCAACTTTTGCTAGCTGCTTGCTGTTGCATTAATTGAATACACTGTGTAAATCTTCGTCCCTCAAACAGGGTTTGTTACCCGGTGTGCAAAAGCCAATCTTACACACAGAGCCCGGATACCAGTTTATTCCATATTTGTGCAAAGGTGGGTGTTAGGTGGTAATTCCACAAAGCCAGCACACCACACAAGAGAACTTCAGTTTAACTACACGAATACACGTTTACTGTAATGACCATTGGTTAGTTTCTTAACACTTTGTCCCTCACTGGTTAGTTACATTTAAATTAGCCGGGGGGGGGCGCAAGTCTTTTGGGTCTTGAATTGAGCCAGTGGTCGCAGTCTTCCCCCGTTTCCTTTGCTTTTCCCCCAGTTACCACGGAATTTTGCTGACTTCATGCTTCTCAGACAATCATCCAGCCTTTGGCCCCTGCTGGAGCAGGATGTTCTTCTTTTACAAACTTTTAGCTCCTCTTTGAGGGTACGGTCGTTAGCGAGGCCTGCGTGGTTTGTACCAAGTATCAGGCTTACACAATAGAGCCAGTGATCAGTGGTCCTTGTACTTGATGAGAAACATTTATACAGGCTCCAGTACCAGTACTTTGACGTTGTACCTGAAAGGAAACAAGTCTTGGAAAAAAAATAATTATGGAAAATGTAATTACTTGCTAAGAGCTCTCAGTCTTACTATGGTGGAGATTAATATAGAGTCTCCCATCTTTCAGGATGATGGCACGTGCTGTTGTCTTGCAGAATTTCTCTTTCTAAGTTTTGAAATAGAGAAGGGTTGACAAACAAATATCTCTCTAAATTATCTCCATCTTCCTAAATCACTTTTTGAGTGTGATGTCCTTGTTCAGCAGCTATTCTGGAAGAGCCAGTAAACAAGCAGTTCTGAATGAGATTGTCGTGATTACACACATAACCTGTAAATATGACCTTGTCAACCCTATTTTGTTCCAAAGATTATACTTAAAGTCAATTAAACAGTTCAACTAAAATAATAGTGTATTTTATTTAAAACCCCGATTTTAAAAATGTGTTTACTTTTTATAAACACTGAATGACACATTCCTTCTAGAAATACATCACTGAAAATCAGCTAGACAGAACCCAGTGTTTCTGGAATGTCCGTACACTCAAATTGATGGTCAGTCTGCAAAGAAAAAAAATTCTTGAGGATTGTCCTTTGTTTGTTCCTCTGGGATATTTTTGGATCATTCTAGAGGCGTTCCATGAGATATCTGTACTGGAAATAGTACTGTTGTGCCAAGGAAATATAAGGTGATTGCCTAATTACTCAATGTGATCCAAAATCCTGTGTTCACAAAATTTCCTTGTTTCTCACTGCTTCCAAACCCCAGCTTCAGTGACAGAGAAATAAAACCCACCTCTCAAGTTTGAATTTCTACTTCATGACTGCTGCAGTACACAAATGATCTTTATTTATATGAAGAAGTGTTTGGGACCAAGTTTAAGATCATTGTATCACCCCTTTCCTTTTAAGCTAGGGAAAGGACGTCGAACAGACTCCTCTAAACTTAGAATTGCCATTAAAAGGGAACTTAAAATTCACCACAGAATTAAGAGCTGAGTTGCATCTCCTCAGCTGTACCTCCGCAAAGGAGAGAGCATTTTCTCTAGGCAGTAAGCCCTTTTGATCCTGAAGCGTCTGGTTCATAGTACAGTCCGAGGCAAGAAAGTTATTCTGTGAAGGTCTGCACCAGACAAAGGCCACAAGAAGGTCACGCAATAAGTGTCTTGGTGAGAGCGATACCAAGCAGTGACTTGCTTAGGTCCTGCAGCACGCAGGTCCCCGTTCACTGTGCAAGATGTGCTCCAGCTCCAGGGATTCCTGCAGCTGACAAACCCAGGCAGGAGGAGCCACAGGAGTACGTTTCCA